AGAGGTTGGTTGTTCAGCAAACGGGGGCAAAAGCCCACGAGTACAGGGTACATGACATTGGCTTTTGATCTCGGCTTAGTCTTTGAAGGGCTCATTTTTTCCGAGTGGGCGGTTTCCCGCGCGCCTCAATGCGAAACCCCATGTCTTTCTCCGAATGGGAAACCCCAAAGAAGGGACCGAAATTACCCTCGGAAAAAAGATGGATAAACAATTACTGCAACACGGGGTTTTACCAACCTAAATATCAGAAAGACAATGCAAGGACCACTCACACACGAAAAACAAAGCAAGAAACTCGGAAATCCTTCAAAACGGGGGCGAAGGCGTTGCTTAAAGCCTCTAGATAGAGAGAACAGACACACACACACACAAAAAAAAAAACTGGCCCAGAGCCGGGTGCTTTTCGTCTTTCTCCAGGCTGTGCGAGGAGCCCTGGACAAGCAAGAGGCGAGTGGCCGGGAGGGCAGAGGTTTTTTGTTTGGACTTCGGTTGGTTTCAGTCCCTTGGAATTTCTATGCCGGCTGCAAGACAACCTTGGATCTCTGAATTTCCCTTTTTCACTCATTTGCTGGATTCTTGGGTTGGTTGGGTTGGAAAGCAACCTCGGATCCCTGGAGTCTTTGGAGTCCCCGGGACTTTTGAGGGGAATCCGTGCGTTGGGTTCCAGATGTGTCTCAAAAGTAGCTTCAAGCTGGTTGGTTGATCTCCTGTTTGGGTTCCTTTTCAAAGCCAAGCAAAAAGGAAGTGGCTCTGCAAACACTCGGATTGAAAGAGACAGAGCTTTACCTGTCGCCCAGCCTTCTTTGCGGAGAGCGGCAACAGTCGCAAGCCATGATCTCAATTGGGTTTGTCTCAGAGTTTCCCCCCACACCCAAACAAAAAAGCTTGTTTCCATGTGAAAGCCAAGAAGCGAACCTCCCTTGGACTCCCCCATTTCACAGGCCGCAGTGGAGAAGCGGCGGGAAATGTCCGACCGTGTCACCGGCGCATAAGAGTTCTGCCCGGGCCTCTGTGTGTTGCGTTCGATGTGCAAAGCGGTGCTTTCCGCTGAGCCACAACCCGTATACGGACTTGAGTCTGTGACTCTGTGACTGGTTGTGGCTGATTGGATCTGTTGCCTCCGGTTCACGTCACACGGGACGTCTCACAGTGGATGACCGATGTGGCGTCCTGCTCGACTGGCCTTGCTGGCAATCAGAACAGGGCGTGTGCCCAACCTGGCTAAAAGGGCCAGGCAGTTGCCAGCGGAACATCCCAGCGGAAGTGCATGCATCACCATTGCACAGCTTCCAAGAACAACAGATTCGATTTGTGTCACTTCCACTGAGGACAGAAATCTTGCTTTGCCACACTGCTTTCGATCCTGTGCCCAACTGTGGCTTTTCGAAGTAGGCTAGGCTAAGTTTGGAAAGGATTCTGCCCAAATCAAGGGTGCACATTTAAACATCCATTCAGGATTAGGTTTTCCACCATCGGAACAGTATGGAACAGTCAATCACTAATGTGAAAAAGCAAATGTGTTACTTTAAAATATAATGGGCAATATATTATATGTGTTTCATAGAATTGTTTCCGTTGAACAAGGCCGACGAAGGAACTATAAATATTAAACAGTATATGTTTGTTATATGAAACATACAATGAAGTTATATTTTATGTTAATATTAATTTATTAGATAATTATTATTGAAATTGAAAATTCCATTATGATATTATGTTAAATTATTTGTATGGGATAATAGAATTACACTAGCCTCGACTAAACAGCAAAAAAACATGACCGGTCTGTATAGCCCAAAAAAGGCTTGTCTCCTTCATGTAAGGTGCGAACTTGTGTAGCTTATGTGAGCAACACATAATTACAATTAGTCCACGTATGTCCTTGCAGGAAGTCCCCTTTTTTGGGAAGAGGATACATTGGGTCTATCTATCTCCTTGACGCCAGGTAAAATCATCGATGTTGTTCATCGACTTCGAGGAGAAAATTCCATGGAGAAAATTCCATATGAATGCCATGTTCGAGAGTGAAGACCCCGGGGATTCGGGGTGAATCAACCTAACACCAAGGAAATTTCGATGGAACTTTCGTAATACGGATACTCAATGCACTTTTTCCATCACCGCAGCATTTGGTGGCCGTCTCGCTACTCTGCTGAAACTTGTGCATCAGTCTTAGCAGCCTGCGGCCGAGACTGGACACATGTCATTTCTGGTTGCTATCTTCTTCTCAAGCTCGGCTAAAGGTCTTGCCACAAGCAAAGCAAGAGAGCACTTGCATAAACTTCCAGACTGCGCCTTGTAGCGTTACGGCTAGGACATCCTCGCCTAGCAACGCAGACGCACGCCGCGCCAAATTGGCAAGCGTCAGCAAAGGTGCCCGTTTGGCGCGCACCTCTGTCACCCGGCGCAGCTCTACAAAATCCTCAGTGTTTGAGTCGGCAGTAGCTTGGTCATCCAGGGTCTTCATCTCTGTCGTGTCCAGTGCGCCGCGTGCTCCCAAGATGGCCAATGCATGGCTTTGCTCCATGCGCCTAACGCCGCTCCATTCCGGAACAAGCTTGGCTTTGAATGTCAGCTCCAGCCCTGCTCTATCGCGGAAACGTGTGAGAACTTTGCCCCAACTTACCAATGCTGGCTGCGCAGTGGACACCACCAGCTTGGCCGGGTTCATCTTGGAGTTGGCGCTTATGGTTCGCAGATTGGTGTTCGCATGTGCGGTGAACGACCGGCGGCCGTCATTCCAGCGTACGACGCTGGTAACAACTTCTGGGCCTTGCGTTCACTTAGCTCCAGCAGCACAGTAATCAGCTGGCCGGGTTCATGAACTCTTTCCAAGTTGTCAAGGTCAGCGAAGTAGGTTGCCAGGAAAAGGCTCCTATGCATTAACTAAACAAGCGCAGGGACGATGCGAACAACTCTTACAAGCTAATGGTTTGGTTGGGGACCCGACTGATCCAGGCTTCTTGCAGGACCATTCTTTCTGGAAACCGGTCAGAAAAAACCTTGGAGCTCGGACCCTCCCCCTACGATCTAACAAGATGATAAGCACGCCTGCTTGACCGTGTGTTCGCTCGTCCCTCTCTGCGATAGCACCAGATCTCTAAGAGCAAGTAACCAGGACACCACCAAACCACTCTGCGATTGTCGAGTTGATGGCCCCAAAAAGAAACCATTAAACACGGCGGCGGCGTTAGCAATTCTTATTAGATTATACAGCCACCAAACATATGTCGAAACATGGCCATGACCGTGTGTCCTTGTTGCAATCACCACATTGAGCACCAGAGCCGCCATTCCGTAATGTTGCTGGGGAGTTCGCCACGCACGCAGAGTGTCCAGCAGCAACTGAACCTTTTGCTTGAACGGGTCAGAATCAATGTGGTGGAGGCAACGGATTTCCAAAAATACTTACTGCGGGAGGCTAGCACAAGGGCCATGCAATACAGCTCACGTTGACCCCTTAGGTGTTCCATGCGTCTGGAGACTGTAGGGAAGCTAGTGCCAAGCCCTCGGCATTTTCGGATACCTGCAAAACAGCAGCGCCCATATTGCGGAATATTAAGGCTGAGAAATCTGTTTTTAACCCTTCTGTTAGGAGGTAACAAGATATGTTAAAGCTGCGACCTTGCCATCACGAAGGTGTGAAATGCTTCAGCAAAATGCGTTTGTTAGTGGGACTGGATTATATAGGGTGAAATGAGGGAAAAACGTCGTAGGACATGGGTGGCCCGAAGGCATGAGCAGCGCACGGCGCCAAGTAATCCTAGCAAGTTCTCTACGCAAGTTCCTCTGAGCAAGTTGTTGGTACGAGTTCCTTTGAGCAAGTTCTCCAGCAAGTTCTCCAAGCAAGTTCTTGGCACAAATTATTTGAATAAGTTTTCTCAGCATGTTTCTCTGAACAAATTTTAATGAGTAAGTTGTCTGAGCAAGCTCTCTACGCGCAGCGCTTGCCGCTGCAACTTGCTAGCGCCACTTGCTGCGCCACAAGGATGCAAACCTGCGCGTGACCAAGAAGTGCGGCGCTGGCTTCCACAAAGCAGCTCAGTATCAGCCGGATGTCACGGTATTTGTTTAGTTGATGCGCCACAAGGCTGTAAACCTGCACGTGACCAAGCATTTAGGGCTCGACAGAGCTCAACTGATGCGCCACAAGGATGCAAACTTGGCTAACAGTGCGGCACTGGCTGCCAAAAAGCAGCTCAGTATTAACCGTATTTGTCTATTGAAACCAGTCTACATATCTAAGGCTCGACAGAGCTCTGTTGATACGCCACAAGGATGCAAACCTGCACTTGGCCAAGAAGCGCGGCACTGGCTTCCAAAAAGCAATCAACCGGATGTCATTTTTTATTTGTATTTTTTTACCGAGAGAAATACAGACATATTAAAGGCTCGATCGGGCCCTGCTGGTGCGCCACGGATGCAAGCCTGCACTTGACCGAGAAGTGCGGCACTGGCTTCTAAAAAGCAGCTTAGTTTCCTGAGCAAAGTAATCAGCCGGATGTCACGATTTGTTTGTTCAGCGACAAAAATTTAAGGCTCGACATTGCTTGTTTCTAGCTCCAACGATGCTCCACAAGGATGCAAACCTGCGCTTGGCCAAGAGAGAGGCACAGCCTTTGCACGCAGGCTAGCAGCAAAATCTGCGACACGCCCTTTCCCCGTTACGAAACATTGTTGTAAGTGGTTCCTGCTAACTTGTCGAATTTATGTTTCTAGCTTGATGCTTCTCAATTGCGCTTGCGAGCTGCTGTTACGTGAGCCGAAGGGAGCCGAAGGGGGCCGAAGGGAGCCGAACGCCGGTTACTGGATGAGCAAGAAACAGGTTCAGTTGGTTTTGCCCGGGAACTTCATTTTTCCTGTTGAGGGCTGTAAGCAGCAACGAACGCAGAGACTGGAAGAAACAGGGGAGAGTCATGACATCTGCACTAAAAAACACAAAGAGACAAATCATAGCATCTGGCATCCGTAGAGACTGGGGAAGATAGGCGAAAGACACGACTCCGGAGCCAGTATCACAGCACCCGCAAAAATTGGGAGACACGACCCAGCATTTGACATCCAGACACAGCGAGACGCGGGAGCGTCTTAGCATCTGGCATCTAACCACAGAGGGACAAGCGGGAGAGACAGAAAGACAAGCGAGAGATACGACCCCGGAGCTAGCATCACAGCATCTGGTATTTGACCGCAGAGACTGGGAGACACAGGGAGACAAGCGGGAAATACGTTCCGGGAGACACGCAGTTGGCGTCACCGCAGAGCTAGCGTCATAGCATCTGGCATCCAATTACAGGGAGGGTTTGCGGGAGACGCAACCAGTCCGAGCATAGGGCGATAAGCGGGAGACACCACCCCGGAGCCAGTGCCCGCAGAGACTGGGAGACACAGGAAGATAAGCAGGAGATACGACCCCGGAGCCAGCGTCACAGCAGCTGGCATCCGACCGCAGAGACTGGGAGACAAGCGGGAGACACGACCCCAGAGCCAGCGTCACAAAAAACGGGAGATGGGAGATATAGGGAGAGAAGCCCCGGAGCTAGCGTCACAGCATCTGGCATCTAGACACAGGGAAACATTTGGGAGACACGGCCCGCAGCCCGCGTCACAGCATTTAGTACCTGACCGCAGAGAATGGGAGAAATAGGGAAACAAGCGGGATACGATCCCGGAGCCAGCGTCATAGCATTTGGCATTTGACTGGAGAGATTGGGAGATAGGAAGACAAGCGGCAAATAGGCGTCACACTTTCCAAATTGTTTACCGCAAGTTAGAAACCTAGTGTTTCGTTGTTTGGGCAATTGTGAAAATAATATTTATATTTTTACGAATATGAAGATGGATAAATATAATATATATATATATATATTTATGTATTTCCAAATGTTTTAATAAAAGAATTAAAAATAAGGTGTATATATATATATGAATTATTTGGATATAAAATTAGAATAATTTAATATTTTTGAATTTTATAATTTGTCGAATAGAG